AGTTTGCTACTGAGCTTTTGCTGGTGATTTGCTTTCAAACCTCCTCTGTGGAGACTATTCTGCTTTTCATAAATGCTCATATAAAATTAAACTAGAGATCAGGGTAAAAGAAAGTGACTGATGTGGAGCTGAGTGAACAGGATGCTGTTCTGAGAAGTGGAAGAGGTTGGTGCTCATTTTATTTAAAATTTATTTTAACCAGGCAGCCAGTAAATCTGCACTCTGTTGGTAAATGTCTGAACCATCAAACTGAAGTAATTGACATTTTCTCCAACAAAGTAACAGTAAATGCTTCATGTGCAGTGGAAGACTATTATTGCACAAGACTGGAGAAATCACCCTGCAGCTCAAACATTCTTCCAGGAGGTACAAATGCAGTTAAACTCCCAACAGGGAAAGGCAGGGGAAAGAATTGAACCTTGGTCTCCCACATCCTGACCCTGGCCTGTTGTTTCCTCTGTTATAATTGCAAATTCCTGCAGAATAGATTTGTTTTAACAAAACTGCAGTGAATTGAACATGAATTTGGAAGTGCTTTCTGTCTGTGTGCCTGTGAGAAGCTGAGTGTAAATGCTTTGACAGAAAAAGATCCACCCTGCTCTGCTGAGCAGCTGTGATAGTTCTGCTGGGAGGGTGAGAGTGCTCTCAGGGCAGTTGGATCACTAGTGTTTCCAGCCCAGAAGGCAACAGGAATCTCCTAAAAATCTCAGACTGGTTTTTACTCCTTGGCACAAAACTGCACAGGTTGTGTTGTCATCAAAAACGAAACCGATACAAGAATGAGACTTAGAGACGAACTTTTTTCTGAACTTACCTATCATGAATCTTTCACTTTTAGGTGACAGCATGACAATGTTAATTTTTATCAGCTGTGACACTTGATTAATCTACTCCTGTGTGCAGTGGACTCTAGTCTGAAATGAATAGTAGGTTCTTGAAAATGCTGCATCACTTCTTGTCCGGGTGAAGGGAAGATATCTCTGCAGGCTTCACCTCTTTATGTCCTCATCCTCAGAATGAAAATCAGATATGATGGGGCAGTGTTTCTGGCTGGGGGCAGAGCTGAATGTCACTGCTGATGAGGAGACTGTGGCTGACTGAACCAAGCGCTGATTCTGCAAGGGAAACCTTTAGAATAAATTCTAATTAAAATGCATTCCTAGAAATGTGTTCCTGGCCTGTTTGCCCCTTACAGTAAATTATTCTACTTCTAGACTGATACTTGTGTTCTATACCTCTTGAGTTGATGCAGCTTTTCCACCATGCTAGACCACCACATTTCCCACAGAGCAGCTCTCACTGGCGCGTGGGCGAACCGTTGTGTCACTGTTCCATGGCAATCTCAAGAACGAGAGGGAATCCTCTGTGGTCTCTCACAAGCAATGCTTTCAAGTAGGTCTGTGTGGGCTGTGTTTGTTTGAGAGATATGAATATGCTTTCAATGGTAGAATGACTTTAAGAAAGGGGTTTCCCTAAGCCTGGGGTGTAGGTTAAACCTTGAGATATATATACACATATTTTTGCCTCCAAACCACTTAGTTCTCATTTGATTCAGAGAGCCTTTATCTGAGCCTAGTCCTGAGCCAGCAGTGCAGAGACGGACACCTGCCCTAAAATATGGTGAGTAACCCCTGCATTAGTTTGAAGCTTGTATCAGCGAGTCTCTGCCTACCCTCAGAATGAAGTAATGTGCCTCTTCTCATCTGCCATAAAGACCTCAAACCCCACACCTGATACTTGGAGGGTTTCTTTTTCTAAATGGCATTTCAATTTCTTCATATTTTTTATACAGACTTGCTGTAGGAATGTTCTTTTAATTGCTTTTCCTGCATGAATTTGGGCAATGAAAGGTACAGAAATAGTAAAGGACTATTGCCATATAGTGCATTAAGACTATGTCAAACAGTTATTCTGGGCTAAATCTAGAGATACAAAGATTGAGTGTGCCTCTGGGTTTGACTCATATTCCGTTCTTGGACAATGCTTCTGCTGGACCTTTGGAATTTTTACATGTTCTATAGAGTTTGGAATGTTTCCTGCACTACTAACTCTGACTGAAGCAGGGGCAGGATTCCCTCAGCTGGTTCTGTCATTAGGACATCTGCTGCAAATTGGTTTCTGTAATCCACATAGCATTGTAGGGAGGGCTAGGTCTCTGGGCTAGGTGCTATTTTGCTTGCCTTTTTGCTGTGAGTTAGCATTAATGCTGTGTCTCAGAAGTTTTGATGCACTCCAACCTTGTGTAAGGAATACTTGGAGCCATAGTATTATGACATTCTCTTTTCAGACCGGTGGTGTTTGCTGCCAGAGGGCACATGCCCCTTGTGCTGGGGCAGCTGTAGGAACTCCAGACTGCTCTACCTCCCCCCTCTGAAAAGGAAGCAGTACACCTGTGAGGATTACAAAATGCTCACTGCAAAGTCTGGAGAAAGAGAGTTTCTTAAAGAATCATCTCCTTGTCTTGCCTCTGGATCCTAAGTACACCAGGTTATGCTGCTGGCACAATCCCAGTTTCTAGCAGCAGTACTACCACATTTCCAGAAGTGTGGGAGTACTAGGTTGTGTAGAAAGCAGCATAAACATGAGTTGTTTAGGACTGATGTTCCTGCCAGCCAAGCAATGCCAATGTTTTTGTGCAGCTGTCTGGTTAGATTGTTCCCACTTTTCTCTGGGTTTATTATTTTTTCTTTTCTTTTTTTTTTTCTTCTTTTTTGCCCTGGGTTTTGAAGCTTGGTTGGAGAGCATGGAATTCAAACAGAACAGAGCTGCATTCCTCATCTAAATCAATCCTTCTTGCCTTCTCACTGTTAAACTTCCCTTCTTGTAAGTGCACGACTTGCAGGTCAGTCTGCCTGTATCTTCAATTCTTTTCTTCCCAGCCATGCAGGCCCTGTACTTGGAGCAATCTCCTTTCTGGTACTGTTCTGCCTCGTTATACTGCAGAGACTTGATTCCAAAGTCATTGGAGTTGATAGATCCCAACTCTTATCTCTTGGCTTGGATTGCAGTGCTATTCCATGGAATACATCTAGTTTACAAGTGGGTTGGAGTAGATCTGTGCACTTGTAAGGTTTCTGTATATTTGATAGATCTGTGGTTGCTTGATAAATGATTTTGAAACAAATCAAGGATGTTCATGGTCGAGAACTTTATTTTATCGACATATTTTATACTTTTTGGGGAATTAATTTTTATTCTATTAACAACAATTTGCTCCCACATAAATTGTGTATAATGGGTGTGCTCAAACTATCATGCACTTTGTCCCTAGACCTGTGTACACTAATGGGGTCCAGTTGAACCTAACATTTTCCCAGGAAGAAAAGGTTCCTTCTAAATATATTAAAAGTCAGGAGTCTAATTTTAAATGAGAGAAGTGCTGAAGGTGTTCTGAGGTATGCTGTGTGTGACTTTGGTGGCTTGATGGTATTTGCTACTTCCTCTGTTCACTTCTTGTGCGAATCTTTTGCACGTTGGTAGTGTGGTCATGATATTTTTGGCACTGACCTTATGTTTCATAGCCTTTCAAATGGGTTTTGTGTGCTTTAAACTCATCTGTGTAGGTGCCCCTATGGAGTGACTGACATGCCCAAATGCAAAATTCTGTGTCATCTGAGCCTGAGCATAACTGGTTGCTTTTTGGTAACATTTCTTCCACTGGTTTCTATTTGAAGAAGAAATTTATACTCATTGGGGAATAATTTTCACAGTTTTAGATGTTCTTGAAATCTTCAGTCCAAAGATGTTTAGTAATTGTTAAATTGGCAGATTGGCAGAGAGAGAAATATGCCTGAAAATTGTTTTTCTCTCAGTTTCAATTCAAGAAACAAGTGTTACATTGACTTTTAATAAGGTCATGTAATTTAAAGCAGTGTTTTGTACTCTCCACCCTTGTGTGTGCCAATAGACGCAGTTTCACACAGCCAGGATGGAGGAGCAGGAGCTGTGTGTGTGAATTCACCCTGCTGCATCCAGTGCAGTCAAGCAGATGCAGAGATGACACGGCACATTTTCCTGGCCTGGGTCAGAGCTGAGGAGCCTGCAGTGCAGAGCCTCTTTGGAGTCTCAGCAGCTCTGTTCCAAAAGCCAAGTGTTCAGTTCAGGGTAG